AAATAACCGGGTGTTACACTGCAGCCCTGGAGGTGGAATGTTGCGAGCACCAGTGGGGTTGTTGTTTGACCAGGAAAAGTTAGGATGCTTCCTCCATTGCGTGTTATAGGCATTTGAATACATACCACCCTGGCCTTGATTTCGCTGATTGTTGATATAGTGGACATCTTTCAACTGAGCAACTCCCAGTGGACATAGATCCCTATGATGAGCACCGTCACACAATTCACAAAAAGCAACCTCCTCTTGTCTACTAAGAGCAATCTCGGCCAACCTTCGTTCGAGTGCATCGAACTTGGAATCCAGCTTAGCATCAATCTTTGCTTCTAAACTCGCAACTCTGTCTATCTCATGTAAGCCTCCTCTTCTTTGAATACTGGTCTCACTACCCCATTCAGTATCTTCGGAACATATCTTCTCTACCAGTTCATATGCTGCTGGTGCTTCCATCAAGCATTATTCAGAGCATCTCGAAACTCCCTTCTGATTCCGTTGAAGAAGATAATGATCAAGTTCCAATCTTTATGACCATGGCTTGGGCATCTCATTAAAAACCCCTTATAGCGCTCCCATGCCTCAGTTAGACTCTCGTCTTCAGCTTGTTTAAAAGTAACTATTTCCTCTTGCCTCTTCATTGCCTTGGCAGGAGGAAAGTACTTATCCAGGAAGGTCTTCTCAAGCTGAGCCTATGTCGTGAAGGAATGGGGTGTTAAGTTCTGGAACCAGTGTGATGCATTCCCTAGCAGAGAAAATGAGAACATCCGAAGACGGATTGCATCATCAGACACAGTCGGGCTCTTCATCGTATCACATATGCTCGCGAACCGACGGAGATGTTCGTGAGGATCCTCTGTGCTAGCCCCGGAGAATGTATACCCATTGGTGATCATATTGATGAATGTTGGGGGGTAATCTCCATGGTTTCATCCCCATCTGGAATGACAACACATGAAGCTCGGGCTCTAGTCCTTCGATTCAAATGAGCCATGATTGAACGATCCTCGTCTGCCATGATGACAGGCTCGATGTCACGAGGTGGTGGTGTAGGGACGATAGGTGATGAAGCCTGCCCTCTCTATTGACGATTCTTGGTTAGGGAAGGCCTAGGAGTTGTAGTTGTGGTTGGCTGCTTCCCTAACTTGACCTGCTTTTGGTTCTGTCGGCAGGTCTTCTCTATCTCTGGATCTCGTGGTAGTAACTTGTCGGTCATCCTCCTAGGCATGCACGAGGAGGATAAACCTGAAAAATTCACCTGCACACTAACACCCAGATCACAATAACTCACTCTCAATAATCAATAAAAACAAGGTATGGCAGTCCCCATAACGGCGCCAAAAACTTGATAAGGCAAAAGCGTAATGCCTCAATCCTATCTTGCAGTAAAACCGGAAAGTCCGGGTATCGTCTCTCAGGGAATGGTACAATCGATTTATCAATTATATGGAGCAAACTATAGGTGAAAATGGTTTGGTTGATGAAATTATTATCTAATAGCAAAATAATTAATCAAAACAAGCAAATTAAAATGGTCGGGAGAAATTCAATGGAGAAAGCTCTAGGAGAAACACCGGGACTCGGTACCTATCATATCCAAATTTATTCACATATTCCAATCAATTTAATCCATATCTCTACAGCCAGGATATCACTACTGTGCTAGCTATCCCTGTCGGGAATTACTATGTACTAACCAATTAAATCAAATCCTACTGTCGTAGCTCAATGACTTAATTATTTAGCCTGAAGATAGATATTCTATTTAAGACTGCATAACACCTTATTTAATTCACTGTCACTTCGATAAGTTACTATGTCACATGAAATATGTTCAGTTATTAGGGTTTCACAGTCGCTAATAACCTAATCAACTACAAATCGATGTATTGGTGTCCAATCAACACAAAGCATTAAGTAATTTCATGCAATAGAGATTGGAAGAAAAGTACTATGAATCAATCATTCAAGTCTAGAAATAGCTAGGTCCTATAGTGTTTTCCTCAAAAATTGGGGTTTAGTTCATAATGAAACTTAGATAAATCAATATGATTTTGATCATGATGTTCCAAATCAACAATACACAAATAACTCGAACTAGAAAATCCAACCAAATAACTTGTTTTTGTTGAAAGCTCACGTCGCCTTGGAGAAGTTGGTCGCCAATTGCCTGCTCGTCCCAATGGCCTGCTCGTCCAAAAACAGTCCGCCTTTTTCATCTCCAATTCCGTGTCCCCAATTCCGTGTCCACCCCTTCTTTTTATTTCGTCACCAAAACCCCGCAGATTCATCATACGTTGCGTTCCACTTCTTAGTGTCAACGGACTCCAGGCCAAAATTTCCGAGCCCAGTCCGAGCCACTTCCGGCCCACTCCAGGTCCGCTTCTTCCTCACGAGCTGCTTCTCCGTGCTGTCTCTCCAATCCAAATCCAGCTGCCCATTTATTTTCCAAGTATCAGAGAACAGATCAGGTCAGTAACTCTATGATCAGTAACTATGAGTAACATGTCCATATCAACATGACATCAATAGTCTCTCTCCTGAAAAGTTTTTTTATCTTTTCCCCTTTAATCTTTAACGGACGATTTCTCTCTCGTTTTAAGTCGAAATTTAATTTTTTTGCACAGATAAATCAGATTAAATATGCTCTTCAAAATGATATCCACTTTTATATATTTTTAGTACAAAAAAATTGAATACTTTTTTAAGAGTCATTACCATATGATATGCTCCAATTTAATACCATATGGTAAGAAAGCGTACCATGATGGTATGAACATACCAATATGGTAAGAATGTTGAATACATGATAGTAGGAGTATATTAAATGTCATTTACGACTTTCATCATTGTTTACTACAAGTTACCAATCAAATACCATAGTAGTAAAGTATGGTAATTTTTTATCTAGTATTTTTTTCAACCAGAAATTTATAGATCCAATAGATCATGATGAACTCGTTCCTTCTGAGCAAACGTTTTCAAAAACGACTTAAAAACGAAGAAGTTACCATATGGTATGTAGTTGGTAAAAAAAAGTTTCTCGAAATATATTGAAAATTGATCTCATTTTGTAGAGCACAACGAACTCGTTCCATCTGTGCAAAAAAATTTGAAATCCGAGTTAGAACGAAGAAGATAAGAGCCAATTAAGAAAACTAGGGAAAAGAAAATGTTTTTAATTGACAACCCTTAGATCTGAATTTTCTGGACCCACTTAAATCTAAAGGTCCAGATTTAGTTACTCATAGGTTAGTAACCATTGGTTACTGACCCTATGCTAAGCCCAAGTATCAGGCTCGGCCCATAGAGAAACTCGACCCACTGCTCCTCCTAGCCTAAGTGATTATTCCACTAATGATTCGACCCGATTGTTGCCTGTGCAATTTCTCCTTTTTCGTACTTTATTCACCTTTAATACATCAAACTCATGGCACTAGGCAGTAATAGTTTTTCAACCATTCCCGGGTTAGCGAGTCCTAAAATAGCACCAATCGGCTTAAACATATCATGGGATAGTCACATAAAGCTCAAGAATTCAATTGGTTAAAGTCGATTATCAGGAGAGTTGAAATATTTACTTGGTATTGAAGTGGCTCGTTCACCCAAGGGCCTCGTCCTTAATCAAAGAAAATATGTTCTCGACATATTACACGAGGCTGGTTTTACTGCTAGTCGTCCGAGCGCCACACCCATCGAATAGCAACACCACTTGGGTCGTGATCCTTCTGCACCTGCTTCTGGTGCTTCTGCTTATTGACGGTTAATTAGGCGTCTTCTTTATCTTACAGTGACTCGCCCGGATATCACATATGTCATCAACATTCTAAGTCAGGCAGTGCATTAAATCCGCGCTTGGCAAATGTCTGTTTCTTCCTTAGACTGGTGATCTCTCCATGACTGGTTATTGTGATGCATACTGGGCTAGTTGCCCCACTTCACGTCGGTCCAAGACTGGTTATTTCATCACTATGGGTTCTTCTCCTATTTCTTGGTATACCAAGAAACTGTCTGTTGTAGTGTTGTTGCTCGCTCGTCTGCAGAGGTTGAATATCGAGTCATGGCTAACACAGTTAGTGAGGTTCTTTGGCTTCGTTAGTTTTTTCGCGACATGGGTGTTCACCATTCTCAGCCTACTCCATTGTACTGCGACAATTAGGCTGCTCTCCATATCGCATCTAATCATATCTTTCATGAGCGCACTAAACATGTAGAAATGGATTGCTACTTTGTGCGAGAGCGCATTCAGTCTCGTGACATTGCTCCTCTCAGGATTCCTACAGCAAAACAACGTGCTCATCTTTTCACCAAGGGTCTTAGCGTTGATCAGTTCAATCATCTTCTGGTCAAACTCTGTCTCCTTGACATACATTCCTTCGCTTGAGGAGGCGTATTGCGCTCAATTCTCCTTACTTGGTTGTAGTTGATAGTAAGTTGAGGGACCATTTTTTATTGTTGGCATATCTCACGTGACCTAGTGTGTGAAAATGGTTTCTGTATATCTTGAGGTAAAGGTTGGGCCGAACCCTAGTTATCATTATCATCAATAATAATCCTAAGAGCTCACGTTCTTCATGGACTAATCACGTTCATACCGAACGGGGAAACGGTGTCTCGTGTTTTCTCTTTTATCGTTTTCTACAAACCAAATTTAAATAAACAATTTGTAGATGAAATAAGTTCATTATAAGCGAAGAAGAATTTGATTTAGTGGTATTAATGCTAGTCTTCAGCATTTTCAGGTTCAAATGCCTAAAGTAGCATTTAAAGTCTAAGTCGTCGGTGGTTACACAAACGATATATCACAATTTCACAAACGTTGGTTACACATCAAAGTCTACGTCGTCGGTGGTGAGGGTATTTTTTAATTAAGACTAATCATTTTGTTATTAAGATGATTGCGCTTTGGAGAAGAAGCATCAGAAGCAGAGACTAGAAAGGAATAAATAACCCGGCCTGATCAGATTGCTCTCTCTTTCGTCTTGGCGCTCAGTTCTCACGAGTCAATGAGCTCCAACGCGACCAACGCCGCTGCCAGAGGGCGGAGCAGCTCGGGCTCTTACTTGCTGCCGCTCTGGACCAGGCAGGACTCTGCTGCGGCGACGACCACAGAGGAAGAGGAATTGCCGACGGAGCTCAACGCCACCGTGGACGGCTCAGCCGAGAGTTTCCTGGTGGTTTCGCCGGATAAGCTATCGGTCAAGTACGCGGCGGAGAGTTATCACAGTTACGACGTCGGGGCTGTGCAGGCGAACAGGCCAGCGCCGGCTAGCCGGCTGGCTCCGTACTACTTCGAGATGCGGGTCAGGAATGCGGGGTCCAAGCGGCGGGTTGCGATTGGATTCACCAAGGAAGACTTTGACTTGTGTATGCAGCCCGGGTAATTAATTTATCGTTCCCGCCAAAAAGTCTCCCCTTCACTTGCCGTTGAAATCATGAACTTGAATTTAGTATTGATATCGTTACTTACAAGAATAATAATGAAACTTTTCAACAACAACAAAAAAAAATTATTATTATTATTATTTTAATGAAACTTCAAAAATAGATATCATATGTTGAATGGTTCAGTTCGATGCTTTGCTTAATCGTTGTTATGTGATTGAATAAATATCATATGTTGTTGAGTTAATATGTTTGTGGATAGTTTTCACCCACCGTTTTGATTTGTTCACTATATTTCCTAAATAAACCCCTTTGATTCCACCTCCCTTTAATGTGTACAAATGGAACTAAGTTCTTCCTCAATCTATACTTTGGTCTCTATTTTTTTTCTAATGTTACATTTGGATTGATGATATCTGGGTTTCAATTGTATGTACACATACGAGATAAAAGGACCTTGTAATGACTTTTTTGCCCTTCAATCTCAAAGGTGGAGAACTAACAGTTGTAGACGATAGTCTCAACTAAAAACTGAAATTGTACAATTAAATTTTTGAAGGATTCTTAGCACAAAAACAATGGCTGAATGGGGGAATTTTAAGAGGTATTATTTTATTCGTCTTTCTAGTCTTCAAACCAAGAGGGGTTGTGGAAAATTTATTTTTTTGGCTATCACATCAAACAAACAATACATGTATTGACGGTGTAAAATATTAGAAAACGATAATTTTTAAACAATACAACAATAGTAACAATATCACCCAGACATTCTTAGAGATCGAAATACCCCTAAATACTTTGGTCTCTAGATTTTGAAATTAGGATCCTAATTATTTCACTCGTTTTTATTAAGTGTTTGAAAAAAAATTCTACTTTAGTACGTACGATATCTCTGGATTTCAAATGCATGTACACATACAACGAAATGAAGACAAAAAACCTGTAAGTAATGACTTCTTTGCCCCCAAATTTCGAAGGTGGAGAGCTAACAGTTGCGGATACCATGGAGACAATGGCTTTGTTTATCGTGGTGGAGGAAAGGGAGAGTCCTTTGGCCCTAGCTTTACAACCAACGACATTGTTGGTGCTGGTATCAACTATGCCTCCAATGAGTTCTTCTTCACGTATGTATACAAATACAAAGGAACAATTTTTTAATTACTACTATTTTAATATACTATATATTTTCTTAATCACACTAGTGGTTTGCTAATGAATGCATGGCAGTAAGAATGGAACTATGGTTGGTGCTGTGAGCAAGGACATTGAAGGTCCATTGTTCCCTACAGTTGCTGTTCATGGTCTCAATGAAGAGTACAATTTCTCTCTCTCTTTCTCACATATATATGCATCGATTGCAGCTCGTTGAGAACATATAATTGCGTGTTTAAGCCAATTCCATTCAGCATAACAGGATAACCAAATTTCATAACAACCCTAAAACTTGATGATGGTATTTTTTCCCCTTTGATCAATCTGGCAGGATTGAAGTCAACTTTGGTCAAAAGCCATTTGCATTTAATATCAAGGCAAGACACCTTTCCCTTCTCCCTCCTTGTGCTTCCTTTGGGGTGTGGTTACCTCTTTACAACATCAAGCGGAAGCTGGTGATCCTAAAGAACTACTTTTCACTAATAAAACTGCATTCCTGCTAAATCCTCTTTTGATTAGTCTTGCTTGACTATGTGACTATTGGTGCCTCCCGGCTCCCGGTGATCCTGAGATCATTATATTGAAGGTCGCTAAAATTTGTATTTTATTTCACGTTTGTCATAAAGGATAACAACAAACGAAAAAAAACCATAATAACATTAAAACCATTTGTAAATTTTTCAACAATTACATCAAATCTTTCCTTTTTATCTAGGGATGGCAATGGGTCGGGTCGGAGACAGATAGTGTATATCTGTTACCCTACCTAAAATAGTTTGGATTTTACCCATACTTATATCCACATAAGAACCATACTTATATCCACATAACAAACGGGTAGAAAATTCAAATCATGTCCATACCTGTTCGGGTTTCGGGTATCCATTGTTATTCATGGGTAATAGTTTTTCTTTATAACTCCAACCAATATGTTAATATTTACACGTATTCTCACGTTACGTAAGACGAAAAGTACTACAATAATTCACTAGAATGAAGAAAATTAATTTAAACAACACAATTTCATAAAAAAATTATATTTATATGCTAAATAAAAAATATGTTAGAGAAAAATATTGATTATTTCTAGACAAAATACATATGCATGTGTATAATCGGGCGGGTTCGGGTTGGATAGTGAGAAAACCATGCCCACCCATTATCCGCAATATTCGAGTTCGGATTTTACCCATATCAACTAAAAATCATTCGGGTTTGGGTTTTACCCTACCCGATTAGGTCGAATTCGGGCGGATATCCACGGTTACAGATATTTTTGCCATCCTCTTTTTATCTATACTAGTTTTTTGGCCCGCGCTTCGCTGCGGTAAGACATAAAATTATTTAAAAAATAGTTTGAGTACATGCTTCCATTAATTTTTTGTTTTAATTATTATGGAAAACTTACATCGTACTTTTGTTTGACTGATACATAAGACATAAATATCCCTTCAGCCTTCATAAATTTTATGCAATGTATTTCAATAACTGTTATAGCACATTAATATGCAATCTTACGTAATCTATGGTCTAATAATAAAATTAAGGTACAGATAAGTCTCACATTTAATTAAACTATTATGTAAGATTGACTTATCTTACACAAGCTTTAATTTGCATAATACAAATTGATGAAAGCATCACATCTAATTGAAATTTTATGACTGATCTTACATAACCTTTTTGAAATTCAAATTGATGAGATCTTCAACAGTTTAGTTTATAATTTATGAATTTTCACTCAAACATATATCGTGAAAGACTTATATAATATGTTTGTTTAATTGATAGATATTACTATCCCTCCATAAAGTTCATGTATCATCTTAGTACTGAAGACTTATGTTTTACGTTTCGTGATGTGGAATGAAAAAGTATAGAGATAGTTATCTAAAGGAAAAAAATCTTACGGTGTATGAGATGAAAAACAAAAAGCTACGCAAACAACTTATTATGAGATAAAGAGATTATGATAAAATTGATAATTTGATGAATAACTACTTGATTTTTTTTGGTAGGATAGGACATAACTACTTGATTTTATATATGAATAAAATGCTATAAAATTATCCGTAAACAGGATCCAATTTAAATTGAATCAGGGCTACGCCATTATTTATAATCAAAGCTAACCACAACAACAATTCCAATTCCCATGTATCCTACCACTCCCAATTACAATTGTTTCCAAAACGCATTGGTTAGAGAATAGAGAAGCCTGACTTGGCCGGGAATGGATCAGGTCAGTAACCTTATGGTGAGTAACCATGAGTAACCCGTCCACATCAGCATGACATCAGCATCCTCTCTCTCATGGAAAGCCTTTAATTTTTCCCTCTTTAATCTTTGACGTACGATTTCTCGCTCATTTTAAGTCGAAAATTTAATTTTTTTTGCACAATTAGATCAGATTAATTGTGCTCTTCAAAATGATATCCACTTTAATATATTTTTTGAACAAAAAAAATTGAGCCATTTTTTACCAGCCTATACCATATGGTATTGACTGGTATTGAAATAAAAGCATACCTACGTTATGAAAAACGTATCATGGTGGTATGAACAAACCAATACTGTAGGATGGTTGAATACATGATAGTAGAAGTATATTAATTGTAATTTATGACTTTTAATATTGTATACCACACAATACCACCCCGTACCAGGGTGGTATTGTATGGTATTGTGTGGTATTTTTTGGTCCTGTAATTTGTTCACCCAGAAATTTGTAGATCCAATAGATCATGATGAACTCGTCCCTTCTGTGCAAACGTTTTCAAAAACGAATTAAAAACGAAGAAGATACCATACAATACCACCCCGTACCAGGGTGGTATTGTATGGTATTGTGTGGTATTTTTTTGTCCTGTAATTTGTTCACCCAGAAATTTGTAGATCCAGTAGATCATGATGAACTCATCCCTGCTGTGCAAACGTTTTCAAAAACGAATTAAAAACGAAGAAGATACCATATGGTATGCAGTTGGTACCGAGAGGCCAGAATTTTTTTTTTCCTAAAAAAATATTGAAAATTGATATCATTTTGTAGAGCACGGTGAACTCGTTCCATCTGTGCAAAAAAAATTAAAATTCGAGTTAAAACGAAAAAGATATGAGTCAATTAAGATAGTTAGTGAAAATAAAAATAGTATTTAATTCTCCATCCTTAGATCTGGATTTTCTAAATGAAGGGTCCAGATTTGGTTATTGATGGGTGCATAACTCATGCACCCTATCTTGAGCCGACTTGGCCTACCAAACACATAATTAATTGTATGGAAGTAACTTGTGTATAAGTGTATTAATATTACTAATATGAGACTTGAATTTATCTTAAATGATCGCATAGACGAAAGGAAAACTTTATTATATTTTTTTTCTCTTCATCGCTTGGGTCTTGAAATTTTCCCTTACATTCATCAGGACAATGATGAAGGTTGGATTTCGATATCGACGTCGCTATTCATCGAAGCACTTTCCGCTGTCTTCGAGCAGCTAGGCCAAGCTTTGGCAGCCATGGTGATGGCTTACATTGGCTTCCTTCTCTGTATCCACGACATAGTACACCACAAGGCTCGCAGCGAACAAGAGGTTGCTGAGAGAATCAGAGGCTCATCGTGGCACTACAGACGTTTCCCAAGCCACAGGTTATTTGGGTCGGCTGCTGATTACTTTGAACTGGTCGCTTCAATGTGGCAATCGTTCCACTCCACATTGGGGTATGTGTATGCTGGAAGAAATAAGGAGAACCCTATTAGAATGGGCGTGACGATGCTTTTGTTCGTGATTTGCGTGATCATTTTGAAACTTGTTAACAAGTACGAAATGATTGTTGCTCGCTCACCTCGCCAACACCGGCACTAGCTATAGCTAGCCTCACGAGAGGTGGTCAAATGATATATTTAACTCATATTGTTGGTATTTGAATGTTCATATTCGATTTCAACATGTATATGCATATAAAATCTCAACACTCGACATATGCGTTTATACACATTTATTTTGGTTTTCTGGATCTGGTGTGTACTACACATATTTGATTCGGACCTTAATGTACACTTTTGATCCCCATTTATCTTTGGCGTTTGTGGCATTTGAGTTCCGAAAGGTGTAGTTTTAGGCTAGGTTTGTCGTGTTTCAATGTGTTTCAGAGCCTAACAGGTGGAACCAACCCCAGAGTCGATTGTTGGAAGAAATGGCGCGAAGATCACGGTCCAGGCAGGAAGTTCACAGTCATCAAGACCGTGAACTGGAGCCATAAACCGTGAGCTGGTGTGGTTGCAGGGCGATTCTACAGGTTACTGGCATCAGGTCAGTTCATGATCGCAAGACTGTGAAATGAAGTCGTAAACCGTGAACTCGCCAAATGAAATGGCGCGAATTGGGATGAGTTCACGATCCCCGCTTTTAGTTCACGGCCGTGACTGTGACCGTGAATTGGGCGCGATCTGTGTATAAAGGAGAGCTGAAAGGAAGAAGAGGGGAGAGCCCAAAGTGAGAGAAACCTTCTTCTTCTTCTTCAAGAATCTAGAGAGAAAGCCACGAACCAAGAGCGAGAAGAAGCTAAGATTTGCTCCAAGTCAAGATTTGAGAAGTTCCTCTTCAAGGAAGGATCACTACAAGCACAAGGGAGGATTGATGCATCGCAATGATGGTTTTTTCACCTTTCCATTGTGTTCTTTCTTCTTCTAGCATGGAGTAGTGTTCTATTCACTTGGGTGTTGTTGAATCCTAACTCCTACCATGTAGCTGATTGTGTGGATTGAATGATTGTGTGTGGGTGATGTTTACTTCGAGATTGGAGGTATTTTTCATGGTGATTATGCATTGTGCGTGCTTGGCCATCTATTGTGCTATTCTAACCTAGCTTAGAGGGAAACCCCCTTATCTTAAGAGGCTCCAATTAAGCTGGGTTTTCTTGGGTATTCCATGCCTCCTATCTAGGTTAATGTAGGAAAAATCTCTAAACTCAAATTGAACACCTATTTTAATTAGATTCAGCATCCAAACCCCCGGTTTGAGGGGAAAAGGTGATTGTTTGTAGCCTATAATGCATTCCTTGGCCTAGAAATTGAGTGTGGTTTGTAACCATTGTTGCTCCTTCTAGCGGTTCACAATCACCTTTTCGCACACTGATTCAATCGATCTCACGGGTCATGGTAGTTAGTTAGGGGGAAACAAATCCCGAGTGAAGCTTCTCACCAAGAGTTTCAATCCTTTTGCTTTTCAAGTCCTTAGTTTTAATCGTAGATTGTAGAGATTTTCGCAAACAACAATCTGCTAGATAATGTTTCAAACAGTCAAAGTAGGGGTACATGGGCCGGCCCGGATCGATATTTAAACATACTTGCTCTATATCGCACCTGTTTAAGGTTTATACTTGGGTCTTGGGTGGGATTTAATTGTAATATTCGGGTTGAGTCAAGTTCTTGGCGCCGTTGTCGGGGATTTTCTGTCCGTTATTTTGAAAAGATTGTTTGGTGTTAATCTAGCTTTTACTTTG